AGGGTCTCAAGGTGAAGGTACTTTGAGCTAGATAGCAAGTTTCAGTCAGACAGCACTATAAAGAAAGACAATGTCTAAAATAAACAAATAAGCCTTTTGTTTCATGATCTTGCTGATACGCAAAAGAATGAGATACAAGCTAAATGACTTAAATCTATGTCTTTCCTGGAGACAACCTGTAAACTGAAGTTACCACCTACAATGTGATGGCATATACATAATTGCCTCATACAGTGGCAAAGAGCACTGTCTTCGGCAGACAAAGGTTCAATCACACTCTCCCCACCTCCACCCTCCTTCTGTGGCCCTCTTCCTTCTCCCTCTCCATCTCCCTTTTGTGGTCTAAGGATTTAGCCCAGGGCCTTGTACACACTAGTGCTCTATCACTGGGCTTCATCTCCAACCCAGGATTTAGTTCTTTAGAGGTATCTCTAGGTTTCCCTTACTCAAAATATAAAGTTACAGGCCCAGGCCTTCACGGGAATCCACTTACCAGACAGTTGAGACTCAGCTATGACCATCAAGCTGATCACTTCAAACTCAACAACTTCAGTCAAAGCTGCAGCATTAGGTTACTTTAGCCTGGCACAGTTTAGACTTCTAAACTTTTTTAACTAAGCATTTCACCAGATGACCATTTCTAACCATTGTCTGAAGACTGGTGGTGCTGCTAAGGTGAACTTGAACGTTGTTCTCTGGCTAGATTGAGATCTCAAGGGCTCTTAAACATAAGCCCAGGATTTATAGGCCAACTGATGATGAGTGGAGCTACAGAGAACAAGTTTGTTGGGCCCCAGTTAGCAACCAGTGCAATGGTAGGAACCACAACAACCAAGAACAAGACCCTGGAACAACAGCTTTGGGCTTTGGAATCAAACCAGCCTTGACTCTAATTCCCATTCTAGAGCCAGCCTGCTGCTAACCACGCACAAAACCCTTAACCCCTCTGTACCTTATCCATCTTGTCAGTAAGTGGGGGCCAGCAAGCCTGCCTCCCCAGAAGGTAGGCCAAAAGGATGGATGAGATAAATATGGATACACATTTAACTCTGCTTCTTTAACCCTCTGGGAATGTTAACAACATCAAGGAGCTATTTCCTCTACAGGTTTGGAATAAGAGAATGGTACCAGATATCCCTGCAAAACCTGAGGAGTATGTGGCATTCTCTGAGTATGGTGAAAGCTCTCATGGTTAGAGGTTACACTGAAGCAGATGGGGCTGCCCAGAGTATGAATACAAGCATAGTTCCTGTGGTGACCCATATACTGTGGTGCCTTCTATGCACCCTCAACAACACTACAAATACCTACAAATCCCACTTTATAAATCAAAGGATGTTTTAATGATAACACTGATGCCCAAATTGCAGCCGATCGAGGCTTCATAAAAAGGAGAAGGGGAAGACAAATAATTCCAGTATAAAGCACAGAATATCACAGTACCTGCATTACAGCAGGTAAGAGGCAAACGACTTAAGGCTTTTAATGGAAAATAAAGGCAGAATGGTAAATTGGGGTACAAAATAATGGAAAGATATGGAGTCTAAACATCCATCTGTATACAATGAGGAGCTGTCTTGGTATGAATGTGTTTAATTGAGCACAACAATAAACATTGATTGAGTACCTACTAAGGGTGAACTCCCCAAAATTTTCATACATTATTTCTAATCATCCCAGCAATGCTGCAATTTGGGTGTTGACAGCTCTATTTCACAAAGAAGGTCAAGAGAAGTCACAAACTCCTTGGATGCTTCTAGTAGATTGAAGTGGGGTTCTTCCCACTTGTTTCTGATGTCAAAAAGTCAGTGTCCTTTTCCCTAAAATAGCACTGCTAACTAAACCTCCCCTGCAACAGGAAGTAAAACAAAGAAATAAGAATAAAATGGAGGAAAGGAATTATCTAGAAGAAATATAGGAATCCGGAGGGTGGAGACGATGTCACTGTGAACAGGAAAAGGAAGGCTATGGAGGATGAATGTGCAGGGAAGTTTTTCTTCCATTACTCACTCTTCACCTCAAGTTTCCCTGCCAGATCAGGAAGGCAAAGCAGTAATTACCCAGTTAGCGTCACTCACTGCCTTGCCTTCAAACCCAATTTGAGTCTCCTCAGCCCAGTAGAAAATACCACAATGTTATCAAGACTAGAAGATGGCATCATTCTCTCATCTATTATCTACACTGAAAGGCATTCAAGAGAATGAAACTAAGCCTCCTTATCCAGAAAATCACATTATGCTCACATAGCAACACTTCCAAAAATCTGCCTAAAAATATGCATCCTGTCAAAGCAAAAGGACACATGCTGAGCCCTAATGAGCTCCGCCAAACCCTACATATACAGTATTATAAAATGGAGTATGTTGTCAATATATGGTAGGCTGCTTTGTAGCTAATATTCCAGGCAAAGCTGCATTTTTAAAAAAAAGTATCAAATTTATGAGTATGAACATTTCCTTCAAAGCCAGGGACCAAGCGGACAGTAATTGCATTACCTGATTTGCTGAAATCAAGTGTTTTAATATTCAAGTAATAATTCAAAAAGACAAAATATTTTTTTGCACTAAAACCTTGGCTACTACAGTCAGCTCCATTCAGTGACAAACTTCAATATTTCAAGCGGAACAACAGTGATATACTATGGCATACAGAGATGAATTGAAATGCATGAAGATAAAAGATTGTACATTGTGGCTTGTGCACCGCCTTTCTCAGAAAAAGAGATGTTTACATGTGTAAGATAAAATGACAGCATACACATTCCAATTTAGATCCCTAATTACATAAAGATCTGTGGGTTTTGTTTTTAATCCATTAGACTTCATTTTATTCCAAATGCAAAGATATATGTCAGTGTTAGAACTCTCTGCTCACCTGCACATACACAGAACCAGCCAAATATGGAAAATTTAAAGACCTTAAGTCATACCAGGCTTCAGCCTAAGAGATAGCCATCTCAAGAAATGGAGTAGAAAGTAAACCATCCCTTTTGCTCCCTCATCAGTTAAGTCTACCTGCAAAGCAAATGTAATTTCATTGCCTTTTCTTCAAACCTGAATGTTTCTTTAACCATCCAGCCAGGTGTCCTCACAGCCCTTGTAGGCCAGCTGCTCAATACCACAATGGTTTACTGAAACTACACCCTTTTTCCACCTTCAATTTCAACAGTGCATTTCCATTTTTCCCTTTGAGAACCACCCCTCAGTAGTTCAGGGAACTGTCGTGTTAACATCATTTAACCCCAGGGACTCTTCTGTTTAATTGCTACTCTTTTCCTACCCCGAGGACCATTTCTTATTTGATGCTGCAATGGAAAGCACTGCATGAAGACTGGCGGAGCAAATACACAATGGGTTTAAATTTTTAAACATCCAACCTTTTCATGAGTCACCGTTAATCATTTGCACCTGTGCCTGTAATAATCAGTCACGAAATTAGTGAAGCAAAATCTGTGGAATGGAACTCAGTAAGGATGCCCTAATCACAACCCATCCCAAACCAGGGAGGAAAGGGAGCTTTTGTCTTATGTAACAAGAAGAAAGTTTTACATGCTGGTTCCACCAAATCTAGAGGGCATTCAGAGCTCCCAGTACTCAAAATCTAATGGCAGAGATGAAGCTGGGTGTGGTGGCTCACCCTTGTAATTTCAGCACTCTGAGATAGAAGGATTTGTGGCCAGCGTGGACTCCATACTGTGTTGCAGGCCAACCTGGGCTCAAGCATGAGATCCTATCTTAAAAACAAGGAGGGAGGGCGGAGTCAAGATCTTGTGTGTGTGTGTGTGTGTGTGTGTGTGTGTGTGTGTGTGTGTGTGTGTGTGTTCTCCTGTATTTCCAAGGATTAAGTTTTTGCCTTCTGTAACCATTTTCAATTAAAAACATCATTTTGGATTATAAGTACAACACAAACTGAGAGCAAATCTTCTAAGTCCCCACTGAGAAGGTAGAACATTCATTGACATTACACTACTTCATCAATTTTTCCATGTGAAAGGCAAATTTAGAGCAACAGGAACAATATTCTGAAAAAGCAGATGCTGCCGGCACCCATGAAACACACCCATCTGGAAGATACAAACACTGTCTCTGTTCCTTGCCATCAATCTTCAGCAATCATTCTCTGTGAGTGGAGGTGCCCATTCCATGCAAAGCATCCTCAACTGCCTTAGGCAGGAAGTGATCCCTAAGAGCAGCATCTGAACCACACCTTATTGGCCATAGGAGATGCTGACAAAAGCTGCCAAGAAATATGAGGGGATAGCACAGAGAATCAAATATGTCCCCCTTTAATTAAGCAAGAGGGCCCTAAAAATGACGATTTCGTGCAATGGAGTTCTCCTAGACCATCCACTACCAATGGTACTCACTCTGTCGGATAGATGGTAAGATTTTTATTGTTCAGTAGCTGCTGCCTCTCTTTTAAAACTCTGAAGACATTGTGGAAAGCATCCATTTAATGTGTAAATACGGTTTTGGCACTAAAACACTGCTGTAATACCAGAAACAGTCCCCACCCACTATAGAAATGTTCCAGTCCAGCACTTAAGGGATGAAGATTCCAAACTGCCTGTACCAAAATTTTTCTTTTTCTTTCTTTTTTCCCTTTTTTTTTAAAATCAACTTGCATCCTGGGGAACCTACTGAGGAGCCCTCCAAAAATGCTACCCACAGTTCATCTATTGGTCCTATGCCTATTTACCTACGTAGGGAAGAGGGAGGAGTGTTTGGTAGGTATACAGCCCTTCCACTTGTAGCAGGAATGAATAAAACAGCAGCACAACCCTTAACTCAGAGAGCTTAAAAGCCCTCTGAAGGGACACAGATATCTCCCTCCCATCTACACCTTCCTTCCTATTTCTTCCTAGCTCTAGCCTCTGCAGCCCTTCTCTAGCGGCCCTAGGACAATCAACATTCCGTAGGCTCTCAGACATGACCCCAGTTATTCCCACCTTTTCGTCCTTCATATCCAACCCTTTCCCACGGCCCCAGTCCACCCCTTACCTGATAATGTCGTCGTTGTGTCCCAGGAAGAATTTTTGGCTGTGCTCGCGGGTGTTGTACACCACCCCTACCCCAGCTACAAAGTAAACCACCTCTTTGCCAGCGGTGTAGTACAGGTTGTTGCGGCACTGGTGACCCCGGTACCCGTACACCCACTCCAGTCGTAGCTGGCAACTGGGAGCTGCCCGATCCGCCATGATAAGCCGACCCCGAGCGACCCCCAGTGCCCCGCGCGTCGGCTCTGTCCTCTTCAAGGCTCGGGCTGCGGCGGACCTGCAGGGTTCAGGGTACAGCGCCGGGCGCCGATTTCCGCGGCGACGCACAGGCACAGCCCAGCTCGCCGGCCACCATCATCCGCTGCTGCGGGAGACGAGCCGCCGCCGGTGCGCAGCAGCGAGACCCCGCTGGACGCCCCGACTCCTTCCCCCGGGGCTAGGGGCTTCGGGGGCGCCTGCACCCGCGCGCAAGCCTCACTGCACCTGCGGGCTTCGGCCGGCGGGAGAGGTTCTCCCCGGGGTCACCCCGCCTTTAAAATCAGAGATCTGCATATCCAGACGCGGATTACCCAGTTCGCCAAGTTTGAAGCGCGCAGGGGCTTCGCAGCAGGCGGCGGGATTTATTCTGTGGCAAATCTGATCTGATAGGCAGCCGGAGTAAGCTTTGCCATCACCGTCTTTGGATCCGAAATTGACAGTCTATATCTAGGATGCGAGAGCGAGGGAGAGAAAGAATTTTTGCATGTCACCTACTACAAGAAAATGATCACCAAACAAAAACCAAGTTGTGGGTTGTGTTTTGGAGTTTTGCTTTTTTTTTTTTTCTACCTTTCTCCTTCCGTATCACCTCCTTAATTATAGGAAATACGCCCTAAATGTTACTGGCTGGCAGTTGCTGATCTAATTTAAAATAATACTTGCTGTTTCCTCCATAAAGCCAGGGCGAATATAAAATGCTCATTTTTTTAGATGCTCCAATTAGTTGTCATGCATGTGTTTAAAACCCATACCCTCCATGAGCCTTCTCTTCACAAAGAAAACCATGAAGAACTTAAGCCGCTCTCCCTAATCAGCAACTCCAATTGCAAGCATCATTAAAAAAAAAAATCTGAATCAGAGGAAACAGGGCAACTAAAGAAGAGCACTACCTAAAACGCTCCCTGTCCGGGGGGGGGGGGGCGGAGAAAAGAAAAGAAAAAGAGAAAAAGAAATAAATTAACAAGTGGCAAAATAATAATAATAACAATAGCAATGTAATGACGACGACGATGATAATCGTGCCCCTGTCCCCAAGAAGCTCTGAGCTAGCTGAGAGACCCTGCGGGCTCCGGGTTCCTGCATATAACTCGTCGGGGGGCGAGGTCTCCCGCGGGGCCCCCAAGGACAGCGACACCCCATGCTCAGCGAGGCGCCTCCGCGGCGGTTCCGAGGGATGCCAGTCCCAGGGACGATTCCCGGGCTCGCACTCCACCGTCCCAGCGGGGTCCTACACTCCCACCCGGAGCATCCCTGCTTCCTTGGTCTCTAACCTCTGCTGCCTGCCGTGCGTCCCGAATCCCGAACCAGCCAGCAAAATCCTCTGCCTGCCCTCCCTCCCCGCCCTGGGCACCCGGGGATAGGTTTCGTCACTGGAGCGCCCAGGGACCAGCTCTTCCTCCAGCTAGGGCTCCGGAGGCGGGGCCAGCGCGCGGACGGGTTACTAGGCGAAATCGCGGCGCTAGGAAACGCAGACGCCCGCGAGGGCTGAAGCCGCCCCTCTCTCTGCCCGCTTCTTCTGTGTGCATCCTGGGAATCGTAGTCCTCTGCAACCAGCTGGCGCGAAGAGCGGGTGGAGTGTACTACAAGTCCCAGGATTCCATGCGACCGTAGGGCGGTGTGTGCCACGGTAGTCCGCATTTCTCCCACCGGAGCTAGCCGCTCACCCAGACTGCAGTTGGTGTTCTGTAGTGACCCAGCCCAGCGGCCTGCGCGTGTGTGCTGACAGCAGAGAAGATGGAGAGGAGAAAATTCATTTCTCCTGTGTCAGTCCCTGAGGATTGCTGTAGCCCACGTCTGCCCGAATTGCAGCATTTGACTCACGCTGTTTCCTACTTCAATTTTTCCTGTTATTCCAAAGGATTCTAATTTGTTCAAGTGCAGTGTTACGGAATTTAAGAAAAATGCAAGGCATGTGGTCACTCTCATGTATAGGGGGAACGAGCGCCTTCCTATGACCTGCCATGTGCCCGCACAATGAACAACTAATTTTGGCCTTCAGATACAGAAGCCAGTGGTCATCCTAAAACTACCTAAACTATCTGTTAGTTCTGATTTCCGGGTTATGCCCACAGCCAACATTTGGGGAAAGACTTTTAAGTCCACTTGGCTAAGAAAGGTTGTGAAGGGCTCAGGCCCTCACCCAGCCCCCTGCTTAGGCAGACATGACAGACTGCTGAAAAGACCCAGCAAGGTGTAGGCGCCTGATTCAGCAGGGTGTGCTGAGCCCCCACCTTGCCCTAGTCACTGGAAAGCCAGATACCCTCAGTGTGGCAAGAAACCAGTCAGAAGTTGGCTGGCGGTGTGCTTTACTGATAACAGTGAATGCGGAGCATACCAATCGCTGTGGAAAGGCCTCTAGGCATAGCAACCTTCCTGCAGCTGCAGCTGACCAATCAGCACAGGGCAGTACTCCCAAGCCTCAGGGTGCACCAATCCCGGGACTCTTGCTTCGCAGCTAGTGGACCCCCCAGACACTCCCCTTGCTCTACCCCAATATACTCCCTGCCCCACAACTGCTTGGGGTCCTTCCTGCCCCATCCACTGTGTCAGATGGATGGAGAACCCTAGTTAAGCCCAGTTAACTCGTTAATTATTAAAATTATTTGCTTTTGCATCGGATCTGGTCTCGTGATGGTTTGGGGGCTTCAGAGTCTGGGCACAACAGGCACAACAGTTGATCGTTTTGATTCTTTTATAGATAACATTTCTTTATCTACATGGAGCTTTAAAGAATGCTCTGCCCTGGTAGGAAAGGAAATGTAGGTTTGAAGCGCCAGAGTTTGCATGAGCCTTGAACAATGGAGAGAATGTGAATTCACTTCATATGTTCTAAGAAAACAGAATCTACAAATAAGAAATGTCTTTTTTTTTAAGGTAGTAAGGACACCTTAAAACGTGGCTTAAAGGGATTTGGAATTGTCTTAGTTTGCTTCCTATTCCTATAATCATTTATGCAAAACATTGATATTGATTGACTGATTTGATTAGTTCATGATTCTAGTGGTAGGGAAGACAACGAACATGGAACTCAATATCTGGTGATGAAACTTATTGCATCCTATACTGACAGAGGGCATCACATGGAAAGATAGAGTAAGAATGCTAACTCATGTCTTTTTATAAAGCCACTAATTTCACGGTGAACCCAACCTCATTAATTTATCTAATGCTAGCTAACTCCCAGAAGCCTTACCTCCAAATAACATTAACCTGTGAATCAGATTGAATTTTTAATTCATGAACTTTGTGGCATATGATCAAACCATAAGAGAGACATCAACAAAAATCAAGATCATGAATTGCATCTTGCCATTAAATGAATTTCATAGAGTAATAAATTATAAGTAAGAGGAGGAAACCATCTTACAGATATAATAAAGACAATTTTATGAAGGAAATATGAAATATAGATACAATTGTGATAAGTAAAGGCAAATTGAAAGAGCATTCTATCTGTTCCTATGGAATAAAAAGGGCTTATAAAATATATCTAGATCTATTTAAAGAATATATTGAAAATGGAGCTGAACAGAGAGGTTTGTACTACTTAAAATAATGAAGAATCTTTAATTCACATGTGAAGAGAAGAATAACAATAAAAATAATGGTAACTGACTGGATGGAGTGGCGCTCGCCTTCAATCCCAACACTTGGAAGGCAGAGACAGGGGTCTCTGTGAACTCGAGATTTCCAGGGTCACATAGAGAGACACTGTCCCAAAAAACGTAATCAAAGCATGCAGTTTCTAGAAGTCTGAGGTAGAGCTTGAAATGCTTCTTTAGAGACAGTAGCAATGACCCAGAAAAGAATGGACATACTTCATAGAAAAACTGGGAGTGGTGGTAGCCACTATTGTAGACCAGGCTAGCCTGGAAATCAGAGATCCACATTTCTGTGCCTCACCAAATACTGAGATTAAAGGCATGTGCCATCAGGTCATTGTGTTTTATAATCACAATAGAAACCCTAAGACAGAAATTGGTACCAGGACGTGGGATATTGCTGTGAGAGACACCTGAACGCGTGTGTGAAGGAGGATCATGGAAGGGCTTTGGAACTCTGGACTGGAAAAGCCATTGAATGTTTAGAGCTTAATGAGCTGTTGTGGGACCCTAGAAGATGTCCCATCTCACAGGACCACAACCTGGAGCAAGAGACCTAAGGACCAGAGATGGGGACAAGAGACACGGAAGAAAGACCACTAGACAGGTTTCTGATCAAGTGGCAAGTTTTATCTTTCTCAGACCAGCTAATATACTTGTTAGAGCAGGAAAATGGGAGGGGGTGAGAGAGTTGCTTTGAGCGTCAGGTGTGCACGTAGCAGGGTATTGTTTAACCGCATAGAACAGGATATTGGCAGGGTGAAGAGTTCAAGGGGAAGAGGGATGGTGGGTTAATGGCCATTGTCTAGATGATGGTTAGGGTCGGCTGAGTTTGGACAAGCTTTTTGGGTCATGGTGTTCCTATGTTCTACCTTTGTGGTTTCTCTTCTGAGTACCCCCAGAAGGCTCCTTTGTTAGGGCTATAGGCCAATTACATAAATCTTTAGACCTTAAAAAGCACAAGTTTGGCTCCAAAAGATCAAGGTACCTGAGGTGCTCTTAACATATTCCTTCCTTTTGTTTTACGAAGTGGAGGAGGCCTGAATTGACAGCGGAGAGGGTACAGAGGCCTGGCCCCTGTAGATGATGGGTAACTTGTACAACACCGTGAGGACATCCTCTTGGGGGCGACCCCAGGGGTGGACCTGTTCCTTGGCGGTTTTTAAGGGATGGGGGTCTAAGGTGCCTTCCCCAATGTTGGCAGGCTTGTTACCTCCCTACATGAGAGCTTGTCCTCCAAAGGTGGCCATCGTGTTGGGTGGCCTGGGGAATATTCCCAGGTGTGTGTTATGGGGCGGCTCCGAAGGAGCCTCCTCTTCCTTATTCATCATTAGACAATGATATTGTACCAAGACCGGTCGGGTGGCAGAGCCCTATGAGAGGTTCCAGGAGGGATGGTAAGAGGGTGGTCAGCCACGGAGATGTGGAGAACCAATTTTGATACCAGGATTCTTGTTTTTCTGTTTCTCTCTTTTTTCTAAACTTTCTCAAACCCTGGCCATACTATTGCAGATGACTCCTGACCTATTGACATAGAAACATTTTTCTTTCAGGGCCATGCAAAGACCCCCTTGTTGGAGGAAGAGTAAATCTAAGCCTCGTCTATTTTGCAAGACCACTTCTGCCAGGGATTGGTGTGACTCCTCTAAATAGTCTATTTGATTATGTAATTCCTTAATGGAGGAATTATTACCATTACTGTCAATGGAGGCACTGAGTTCCTGGTAGTTGGATTTACCAGCCACCAGGGCGGAGATGCCTGTACCGGCTCCAACGGCACTAATTTCTAAAAGGACAGCAAGTGTAACAGCCATAATGGGTTCTCTACTTATACGAAGTTATTGGGAGGTCTCCCAGAAATGAAAGAATTCATCAGGACGATAATACGATAGGCAGGGAATGGCCTGCACCAATGCACAGAAGCCAACCTTCTGGAAAAGTGGAATGAAAAGGCAAGGCGTAAGACCGTCAAGGCAGGCCCAGTAAGAAGCATTTGGGGGGGACAGCAAAATCATCAGGGGAGCTGAGGACTAAAGTGGTGTTGCAAAGCAAAGTGTGGGAAGGGGGAGGGTTAGGATGGGCAGGGGAGGTGATGTATAGGCCAGATCCAACGACCTGTTGCAAGGTGAGATGGGAAATGGATTTATCTGGACTCCATCAGCAATAGTGGGAGTCATTTGTGGTGGTAACTGTGATTGTGGGAGTCACTGGTGATGGTAAATGCAGCAAGAATAGCCAATCCCTAATAAAAGGGGGGAAGGAGTGATAGCAAAGCCAGCAATCTGCCATCAGATGGGGGTTGGTTCTATTTGCTGCAAAAAAGGTGTGGTTGGGTAGATCTAAAATAACATCTGCATCTGAAAAGAGGGGGCCATAATTCTCAATGGGGCTAGATGGGGGTGGAGAAGGGCTCTGGGTGAGGAAGGCGGTTGGACTGGGCGATCTGTTGGTGGGATTTAGCAAGCTAATGGTGGGCTTAAGGGCAGGAGGTCTCTGGCCTCCTCCCAAGACTGTATTCGGGCCCAATGGTACCTGAGGTCCATGGGGAATCTCTTAGAGTAATTTAATTGAGAAAGTGAGGCATTCATCATATCTTTCTTTATACAGTCGAAGGCCCCAAGTGTATCCTCCGTACCAGTTTAGGGTGTGATATCCTGAGGTGGTGAAGTGAATCTTTAAGGATTGCACCAACCTCGTGAGGAGGAGGCGGGCTGACAATCTGGAAGAGGCTGATACGTGCAAGTGGCCTCATGAGGTCTGCTAACACAAGGAGGGAGGGAATGGGGGTAGGAGGCTGTAA